TCTTAATCATCATTTTCTTCATATATATCTCTCTGAGCTTCTTTATAGTTATTCTGCATTATATCTCTCAATTTTTATCAGGCAAAGAGGAATCTGGTTTCAATATCAGGTTCCTTGCATAAAGTTTAGTGAATTATGCAAATATATATATATATATATATATATATATATATATATATATATATATATATATATATATCTGAAGCACATTTGTGAACTTCAATAGAAAGAAATGTACTTATTTCTGTGTTAAGCTTTTGGATCTTGCTAGTCATAGAACATTCTGTTATAATCGGATTAGGTTTCCAATTAACAAATGCTGATAATAAATATTTGTTTTTCAAGAAATTATGGAGGATAAGGATGTAAATTCCTCTTAAAATTTTTGCTATTGACTAACAACAAGTTCGGGGTTTATAGGATTGAATTTTAAGCAGTTATTTGATGTGGAGTAATAGGATTCAAAGTATTAGTTGAATGGTTGATAAACTTGCTCTATTTGGGTAAGGTTTTATGTTTTTAATTCTCATTGGGTAGGAGAAACTGAGAAAGGCTCTTACTTTTTCCTACATCACAGTAGTGCTTATCTTACTTTTGGATTTGCAGCCAGGGGGAAACTAATTTATGCTCTTGTTTTTGTTCTTTTCAGAATTGAAGGAAGTACTCTTGGAAAGTTGAAATATGGTGAGCTGGATTTGAAATTAGAGGAATGATAATGTTGCTATAAATATAATGAGTAATATAAGCTGATATTTGTATTCTTGTCCTTTCAGTCAGCACTATTCAACTTCCATTCTTTCCTTACAGTAGTGCTATTATGGATCTGTACATGCACTTATGTGAAGATGCATTTTCCAGCACTTCTTGAACAGAGAACTGGGTAAGTCTACAAAAAAAATGGGCATCTTCAAATTAACTTTTTTTGTCAGGGTTGTAGGCATGCGGCAGTATCATTACAAATTTACAATTGATATTTCTTATGTAATTCCTCTTGCTCAGCGAAAGTTGTTCATTCTCATATGTTTCCTGCTATTCTTTTTATTTATTTGTTTATTATTATTATTTTTCTCAATCTTATGTCTTAGTTGTATCTCTATCAAAAAAAAAAAAGTCTTAGTTGCATCTGATGAGAATTAAAATATGACAGGTTTCGAGGATTTTTTTGGAAAGCAGCCAGGATAGGTAAGAGTTTATGCTTGTGTTTTCATCATGCTGCTCTTGAAAAAAATGCCAATATTTAAATAAAGGAAAAAAAAAAAAAAAAAAAAAAAAAAAGCACTTTTAGAAATTTGGTCCTTGTAAATTAATTTAAACAAATTTAGCCCCTCAATTGTTCAAAATGTTGCACTTTTAACCCCTAGTGTTATGTAATTGTCAAACTCCATTAACATATGTGGTTATTTTTATTATTTAGAATTAATATTCGCTATTAAAAACAATATTCTTATGGAGAGAGTGAAACTTTAACTATCGATATTGATTCTAAATGACAAAATTAACCTCATAAAAAAGAGTTTGCTAACGGAATTTGATAATTATATAACATAACATGGACTAAAAGTGCAACATAATCAACAATTAAGGGACTAAATCAATTAACAAAGACCAAATTTTCAAAAGTGAAATAATTCAGGGACCAAAAATGTTGTTAAAGGTGTATGTGTTTCTGGCTCACCATGCTGTTGTGTTATAGACATAAAATGGAAGAGAACTAAACAGAAGTAGGTAAAATGCTGAAATCTGGATCTTTGACTTAAAGCTCAGACTTATTTCTTAAGTAAGTTACATAAAGTAAACATAGGCAAGATGAATAGGTGAACTTAGGGAATGATACTGGAAAATGCTAAAATTTACCAACGACAAATCTTGATGTCTGTTTGTTAGAATTATAAAGAACAAAATAATTTAGTGCCGGTGGTAATTAACTATCCATTGGTTTGAAGCAATAATTACATTACTTGAAAGCAATATGAGTTTTTATTTCTTAGTAAAATTCCATCGAATTCAATGATCTGTTTTGTGTGATAGGTGAGCGCCTAAGTCCTTGGGTGGCCGTGGGATGCTTGACGATGGGTGTTTCAATAATCTTTTTTTGACAGAGCTGTTTAAATTTGTTTCTTTTAGTATTACTATTACATGTCCCTCTTGTCACCAAAGAGCTCAACTTCAGGGTTTCTTATGACTACATCTGCTGCCTGTGATGACTCCATGAATGTTTGAAGCGATCTTCTAAAAGTTTTCTATTATCAATTCACAGTTGACACGTTTGCAATGGTTTTATATTTCGGAACTGCCAACTATTTTCAATTTTGAGTTTGGAATGAAAAACTTTGAAACTTAGCAATTTTGACAACTGAAAAGAATTGTGTAATTCATTAATGGCAGGACTGCTACTCAGAAAGACTTAGGGTGTGTTTGGTTCAATCATTAGAATCAGAATAATAATAATAATAATAATAATAATAATAATAATAATAATAATAATAATAATAATAGGAATCAGAATAATAATGATAATGGATTTAAGTTGAAAGAGTTTAATTGTTTTTGGATCAAAAGGAGGGTACTCAAACTAGGCCTCTTGAGGCCTAGTTAGTAGTTACCAAAATTCTTCTCGACTAAACCGCACCAATAACGTCATCCGGTCACATTTTTGTATAAAAAATCTCTTTATTTAATACTCCGTAATAAATAAAAATTAGAATATAAATAAATAAATAATTAATTAATTAATTAATTATATAAAAATATATATTACATATGTATACACATACATGTATGTGTGTATGTGTACATATATTATATATATTAAAGTTTCACTGAACAATAATCTTTTTTTTTCTTTCTTTCTTATTTTTGTTCCATTGTTCAAAAGTAGAGAATGAAAAAAATAATAAATTTTATAATTATTTAAAAATTTAAATCCAATAATAGGATAACAAAAGTAAGCAAACAAACATGATGACCAGTATCAAATTTCATAGTAGTATACAAAAATTTCCAACCAAAACGCAACTTAAGAAAATTGCTTATTACCTCGTCGTCTGTTCTGGACAATGTACAGGATCGATCGGTTTACACATTTATTGATAACAATAGCAAGAAAGCGAGACCTTTTGATCTTTTAATTGCATGGTAATACCAGTAAGTTCTGATAAATGCTTGCAATCAAACATATTTCAAGAAATTCATGCAAACCAGTTTCCTGGTTAATCTCAATCTCAATCCAGATCGGTTAACAAGAAATCACGGCTCAGAAGCTGCAAATCCTAGCATATATTCTTGCATGGATTAGTTTAGACCTGTTAAGTTGACCATAATAATAAGGGAACTACTAGTTATGTTTTCCAGTCATATCACAAGGAATAGGGTCATATGAGCTAAAAAATATTAGTACTAAAAGTATCTTTTTTCTTTTCTGTTGGTAATATTTTTCAGGAGGTATTCAAGTTTCGAAATTCAACCAACCTTGTGATTTGATGTTCTAGAACAAAGACCTGACCTTGTTTCAGTAAATTGTCATCCATGGCAAAACCAATTGCCTTCTGGGTGTTTCATCTGCACCATAAAAGCCGGAGATCTTCCAACCATATTCCTGCAGGATGTCGCAGTTATGCTGACAGAAAATTTAACGGGGGAGAAAAGAGAGAAGAAATTGTATTGTAGGCAAATTCAAAGAAACCTTCAAATTACACTAGGCTTGATTAACGTCAGATAAATATACCCAAAAAGGGGAGAGAATAGGAAAAAAAAAACATAGAGCCGTTTTCAATGTGGTTAAGGAGAATGCTTTTGAAAAGTTAAAAAATATTCAAAAAAAAAAAAATTTATTGGAAAGAAAACCAAAGAAACTGAAGAGAGAACCTTAAGCAACAAGAGTTACCAAATATCCTCCCTCCTTTCAGCAGCTTGCAGCAACATCCCTAGAATCATGCTCAATGTTGAGGGCTTCTCTTGTAAAATACTAAAATTGCGAGGGTAACTCCAGACAAGATGGCTAAGGTTACAAACTTGTAACCACAAGGTCATGAGTTCCAATCCTAACCCTCTTCGTTTGTGCCGGTCAGCTATGGGCAACCTAGGCTGGTTTACCTCCTTGTGGTCCTTTGCCGGCTAGAGTCACAAGGCGGGGTTTACTCGGTGCACACCCTCGGGTAGTGGCTTCGGGTTTCCCTCGTCACCAAAAAGAAAAAAAGAAAAACTAAAATTGCAGACCAAGTTGCAGGTTGTGGCGGGTAGACGGGTAGTATGAGTTTACATGGCTTCAAAGTCTATGTATGATTTGAGAAATTACTTTCTCACCTGATTGGATTAGAGAGCCATGAACATGTTCATCTAAAATGACAAGTGATCATGGCGGTAGTTGTAGTTTCAAACATTTTAGCTTCATCAAATAAATGAAGTTATCCACTTGATCATTGTTCAGAGCAGATAGATGCCTGAGGAAGTTAAAAGTGGACATGGAACTATAGGAGCTTCAGGACTTCCATTTTGGACAACAGTCTCAGCAAGAGAAATGCCACCCAAATCCACTGGTTGTTGACTTCACGTCAATTCATATCAAGCTTTTCTCTAAATGTCAATCAACTGAGAAGTAACCAGTTTTCTTCCAGAACATCAAATAGCACCCCTAGTTGCACTTCAAAATCCCCAAACATTTCCTGAATACTAATCACCAATAGTCTCCGCAAGTACAAAAACCACCTTCAAAGTGATGGAAACGGATACGGTCCCTTACAATTATCACTCTATTTAACACCTTTGAAACCAGCTTTATCCATGAATGGCAATCAGGACAAATCCGAAGATTTTTTGTAATCTGAATACAAGTGCCAGGACTTGACTTTAGGATCCCATAGGCCACTGCCAACTTTTCACTATGGAAATTCAAATTTTCCTCCTTTTCCTCCTCAGATATATCCATCAACACCAAATCAGTTGCAGGATTAAAACCCTCCATTTTGGTTCGTTTGATCAACAGTTCCAATGATTTGTATATAATGCTTGTTTCAGGGTGTGATCTATCGCCTGCCTTGAATTGGTGAATAACGCCACCCAATTCCACCCCACTTCTTCCACTTCTTTTACGAACTCCTTTCTGTTTCATTTTATGCCTCAATTTCTCAGCACTATCCCACTTTCTTATGGAACAATATATGTTTGACAGTAAAACATAATCTCCACTGCTAAGATGTGATATTTCTGTGCTGGCAACTTCACCCAACTCAGAGTTCTTGTGAATTCTACAAGCACTAAGAAATGCCCTCCATATAACAGCATCAGGTTGCATTGGCATTTCCTTGATCATTGCATAAGCTTCGTTAAGAAGTCCAGCCCTCCCCAGCAGATCAACCATTGCTCCATAATGTTCAAGTTCAGGTTGAATGAAGCAACGCTGTTTCATTATATCAAAATATCTCTGACCCTCTTCAACTAACCCACTGTGACTGCATGCAGTTAGAAGTGCAATAAAGGTTATAGAATCAGGCACAACTTTTTCTGCCTCCATCTTTGAGAAAATCTTAAGAGCTTCTATAGCAAGACCATGAGTTGCTAGTCCATTAATCATTGCATTCCAAACACAGACATTACTGCGTTCAACACGGTAAAAAATTCCCTTAGCTGTTTCAATATCTCCACATTTAGAGTACATATCTATCAATGCAGATGATAAAATGTAGTTCAATTCAATTTTTCTCTCAATCAACAAATTATGAACCCACTTAGCATGATCAATAGCTCCAAGTCTCGCACATGCCGTGACTAAAGATGAAAACGTGTATGCATCCGGTTCCATCTCAGATCTCAGCATCTTTCTGAAGATACTTAGTGCCTCCTTATACAATGCATTTTTTACCAAACCTCCAATAATTGAGTTCCATGTGACAACATCTCGGATGGGCATTTTGTAAAACAGTTTCCTTGCAACATCAACTTCCCTCATCTTCATGAAACCCGCAATCATCAAATTTCCAGGAACAACATCAAAATCCCATTCAGAAATTTCAGTTAGCAGTTGGCGCGCAGGACTGAGGCACTCACATGATAAATACACTACAATCAACAATGACAGAAGGGATGGATACATTTCATATCCAAGTTTGATCATTCTACCGTGTGTTCCAATTGTAGTCCTCACATTGTGGGAATGTTTGCAAGCTTTAAGAGTGCATATGAGCATCTGATAGTCTGAAATGTTTTTCATAAAAGACAATTCTCTTACAGCTCAAGCATTAACTTTTGGATCAGAGATTATAAGAACACACTCAGAGCTTCCCATTTTAATTGAACTCTGAAAAGGGAATACAAAGTCTTTGTGGATTTTCAATGAAAATTAATTTCTTTACAGCCCAAAACTGTTTTTTTTATTAGTTGTTACGGAGTATTTTATGAACAATGTTTCATTTCAATTAAATTAAATATAAATATAAAAGGTACCCAAAAAATAATTCAAAATAAAAATGAAAATAATCATATTTCCCTCCAAATTAAGCTATACACTTCGATAGTAAGAAAAACACAACAAATCAATGCGAAACAAAGAGGGGAAAAAAAAACAACAACAACAAGAATCTTGCAATAAAATTATGATTGAAAAATCAGGAGATATTGAAAAAATAAAAATAAAAATAAAAATAAAGATGCTAAAGGAATAAAAGTAAACTTGCCTGGATTAAAATGATGAGATTCAGGCGATGAAAGAGTTGAATGTATCGATTGAGAGTTTAAGGTTGCGCTATGGGTGAGAAGCCATGGTAACAGCAATGCAGAAGATAGTCTCCCTCTGTGATTTGCGGCGACTCTTACCGCCACTATCATCTTATCCGTGCCCACTCCCAGTTTCCAGCTTACAATGTTTAGCAGAATGTTTCATAGGCAAATATCACTGAACCATTTGTAACGGACTCACTCTCTCAGAGAACTTCGTCGACGGTGAGAAATAGAACCATGGAAGGATTACATGACCCCTTTTTTGGATATGGGCAAATGGGTCGCACCGTCGATTATTCTGGACGGAAATAGCCCATTTTTTCTTGATGTAAAGCCCAATTAATCTTTAGACCAGCAATTATTCTGTGGACCATAATCCAAAACGGCGGATATTATAGTGTATCTAAACTAACACTATCTCACGTATTATTTTTATTTTATTATTAAATGAAACTGTAATTGAATTGAAATGAAACTGTAGTTGTGTTAAAATAAAACGACAGTGTATCCAAATGAAACTGAATAACAATTTCACATATTTGAGTGTATATTGTCCAACAAAACTGTAGTTATATCAAAATGATACTATAGTTGTGTTGAAATGAAATGCAGTGCATATTTGATGCATGGACCACAATGCATTGTGGACCGCGGTCCACAATATAATTTGCCTCGGCAAATTATTGTGTGGATAGTGTTGTGTGAACTACGGTCCCAAACATCGTCATGAATATTATGAGTAAAAATAATGTACATTATGCATTAAAGTAATGTATATTACGTGTTAGAATAATGTACATTACGTGTTAGAATAATTTACATTACGTGTTTAGAATAATAAAACATCTGGGGTAACATAATGTACATTATATTTTTAAATAATGTACATTATGCTTTAGAATAATGTATATTATGTTTTAGAATAATGTACATTATGAGTTATAAAAATGTATGTTGCAACTGAGCGCGCAAAAAAATAAAATTAAGCAAAACGATATCGTTTTTAGGCAGTGGTCCACACAGCTGTGTGGACCACCGTCCATGCAATAGCTATTGATCTTTGGACAATGCTTATTAGGCTATCCACACGGACCACATGCACGGGACCACATGCATGGGGCAAGCTGTGTGGATCACGGTCCAAAACATCGTCGTGAATATTATGAGTAAAAATAATGTACATTATGCATTAGAATAATGTATGTTATGTGTTAGAATAATATACATTATGTGTTAGAATAATGTACATTATGTGTTAAAATAATGTACATTACATGTTTAGAATAATGAAACATCTAAGGTAACATAATGTACATCTATATCTATACTATATATAAAAACAAAATCCTCAATTTTAACTTCCCGCCCGAAATAGTCCTATATGATAAGTGCCAAAAACACTTAGTTTTAAGGTCTATTAGGGGTGTGATTTGAGCTTAATTATGATCATTTGTGCACCATTTTAAGTCATTTAATCTATGTTGTGTATTATGCTTTAAATTACTACCGCACTATGTTTTTATGAATTGTAGGAATGTTTGAGCTAAAAGGAGGCATGGCGGCATATTCTGGAGCAAAGCAAGATGAGGAAACATCCCAGAGTCGAACCAAGAAGGAGCAACGCACGTTGGACGTGCGTTGAAAAGAAATAGAAACATCAACGCACGGCCCAACGTGCGTTGGACGATCGCGTGGAACGGTCAAGTGACTGACCAACGCACGTTGGCCGGGCGTTGGGCGCGCGTTGGAACGTCACTTATGGAAGGGAGCTATTTAAATGGCTAGATTAAATTAGGTTGGGAGAGGCTAGAGTTTTTAGAAGTGAGATTTCAGATTTTAGAGTGAGAAACATTTCAATTCCTAGCTCTACCTTCTCTCTAGCTTAGTGAAGATCAATTGAAGGAGGAGATTAACACTCTTCAAATTCAAGAGATCAACAATTGTATTTCAATTTGGTAAACTCATTACTTTAGCATTTCAATTGTTTTTTTGATTTCATAATTGCAATTTCATTTTCTTATGCTATGTGTGGCTAGTTTAGCTAGGGTTTGAATTGTGATGTTTTGGTTCATGATGCCAATGTGACTTAATTCTTAGATTAGGAGTTGAATGTTGATATGCTTTGGGAATCTAGTTGTTGTGGATTGCTTTGTATTGCATCCTAGGAGCTAGGTCACCTCCTAGGGTTGTGCTAAGTGTGAAGCTTCTATCATTGACATTGTCTAGCCTAATAATCTAGGTGAGAAAGGATTTGTAGGCAAGGTATTCGAGGAAAGGCCATAGAAACTTTAAGAACCCACAAGGGAATTCTGTTGTCTACTATGACAAGTCTTAGTAGTTGAAGAACGAAATGACATAAGCACAGGTCAAAGGCTTTATTATTGAGAAAGTAAAATGAGGTTCTTCAGTAGCCATCACAGGTTTCATTACTTTTCTTCCATTCCGTCGTTCCCTAGATTCGAGCATAGACACGTTCACACACCTATGGCTAATGATCCTAAATGCATCGTGAACAAAACAAGCAATTCAGCCCTACTTTTATTTCCTTGTTTAATTGCTTTAATTGTTTGTTTGCTTGTTACTACGACTATGACATATTGCGTGACACTAACTCAAACGCACACAAATCTATTTTTTAAAATTAACAACATGAAGTTTCTCCAATTTGTCATCCCCTAGAGAACGATAAGATCTGGGATTCATCCCACACTTGGTTGACCAACGTAAAGAGAAACGTGGTGTCACTATTCTATTAAGATTTGTGTAATATTGTAAAATAGTGTAATACAATTCCTAATAGAATATATTGTTTCATATTTTCTGCAATAGTCGTTGACGGCTTGGGACGATTCATTGGTTCTGGCAGAATCATTAACAACGACCATTCTGAGTCTTAATTCAGCAGTTACGGAATTAAATTTTGGATTAATTTCAATTATGAATTTCGAATTAACTCATAGGGACTGACTTGCTGTTACTGGGGTTACAACGTTGATTTAATATCAGTTTTAATACCATGAATTAAGTGCTATTTAATCCTCAACCCTATATAAGTTGATTGTAGAGCAGTAGATTTTGACACAACAAAAATTCATATTTTCTCTCTTGAAACTCTGCTTCTACTCCTTTCTTGCCTCTTGTGTTCATCCCACGCTCTTGTTCGTTGGGTTCTAAGTTTGAGTGCTCACAACTTAGAACCGTAATATGTTTTATCATGAGAAAACTAGGTCATAACGCTCCTAGCACCTTTGAGAGATGACAAATAAGGTTTTAAGGAAAGAGTGAGTCGCTCGACTCGTGCTAACCACCTACCCACCATATCCTTCCGTCCTTCCCAGTTTTCCAGAAATAATAATAGTCCTTTTTCGTTTGATTATTATTATTATTATTATTTTTCATGAATATCCACCAACATTTGTCTCTATCGTTGAGGAGCTTGTCGACTTTTGCGATGTCCCATGTTTTAGTTTCTAGACTAATCAGGTTGGCAATTGTGTGGTTTTCTACACCTGGCGTTGGCAATGTCTCGACTAACGACTGGTCAGGATGGGGCAGCCATGGAGTATTCCATATTTTAGTTTCTTTGTCGTTACCGGTCTATCTTCTCACCTTGGCTTTCAACATATCTTGGCTAGCTATTATGCTTCTCCATCCGTAGCTGGCATTGGGTTGTAATTTAGCTATCAAGAAGGAATCTTCTTTCTCAAAGTATTTTGCTTTTAAAGTTCTGGACAACAGGCTGGTTGGATTGGATAGAAGACGACATCCTTGCTTTCCTAACAATGCCAAATTAAATTCATGAATTTGCTTGAAACCCAGACCACCCATATTCTTCGGCATACAAAGTTTGTTCCATTTCATCCAATGGATCCCTCCTACCGCCGTGTTCTTTCCCTTCCACCAATATCTGTTGAAAATAAGCTCTATGTCTTGGCATAAAGTCTTGGGAAGAAGATAGACACTTATGGTATGAGTGGGCATGACTTGTGCTACAGTTTTTAGTAATATTTCTCCAGCTTTAGAGACAACTTTTTTACTCCAGCTTCCGACTCTGTTTATTATTTTCTTGGCAATATAATCGAAAATTCTTTTTTTTTTTTTGTTACGTCCTATAATGGAGTTAAAAGTCTTAAATTAATATTACAGGCGTTTTGTTGAAAGAAATGAATTAAGAGGGAAAGAAATTGTAATTTGGTGAAAAAAAAAGAATAAGGTGTGAATAAAGTAGAAATTAAAATTATATTGTTTGGTAAGGAGGAATAGAATTATTGAGAATTGGAAGAAAAGAAGTGATATAAATACTAAAATATCATTGTGTAGTAGTAGTAGTAGTAATAATAATAATAATAATAATAATAATAATAATAATAATAATAATAATAATAATAATAATATAATCATCAAAGGTAAAAGGGTCATTTTTTTTTTCCTTTCCCCATACCTCAATGCTCTAAATTACAATTCCTATGGGTGTAGGGGGCAAGAATTCTAATTCCACAAATGGAGGGAATTACAATTTGGTGAAATTGTAATTCCATCCAACCAAACATTGTAATTCGGGTGATCAAAAAATTGTATTGTAATTACATCCAACCAAACATCTCATTAAGTACAGAGATCTGTCATACTCCGGTTCCATATTAAAAAAATGTTAATCTTTAGTTAATTCTTTTCAAGAATGTTTATGTCATTTTATTTATCTTTCAACGAACCAATTGACCCATACTCTTGTTAGGGACCATGACTCTCAGTCTGTACGAACAATCTGGGGGAATCCCCTGCCTAATTCCTTTTTAAAGTTAATAATAGTCTTTTTTTTTTTTTTTTAAAAAAAAAAAAAAAAAAGACTTTTAACTCCGTTAACTCCACGTTGGAGTACGTGACGCTCACGTGCGCCATTTCCGTTAAAGAAGACGAACTCCTTTACGTCAAGATTTTTTGTTGCCCAAGTATTCTAGGAATACCCCAGAAGTTTCTCTCATTTCGCCTTTCTCGTCTTCTTGAAATTCCGACAAGGCCGCCCGAAAGGTTTTCCTCCCGAGATTTTCAGGTATGTCCATCTTCGTTCTCCCGAGATAATTTCATCGGAGTTACCGATTTCTATTGACAGGATATGGGTAGCACATAAAAGGGTGTCTAGATTTTCTTGTCATGATAATTTAGAAATTTAGCTCAACCATTATTGCAACCTCATTATCAAAATCTAAGTTGAAGATGTATTGGTCAGTTTGAACAATAAAGAAGGATTTGGGAACTTTTTATGTGATATTCCGTATTGTTTTCATTCTTAGGGAGATGAGATGTATGCTTTGGGTTAAAGCTTGCAGTTTGCTTGACATGTACCACAAGGTCCTAAGGTTATTCTAGATCTGACTGAAAGTTCGTTATACAATGAATAAACAAAAAGACTGGTCTTTTTGTGCTAGATAACATGTTTCTCGAGCTGTTATGGTTTTACTAGAGGTGCAGGAAAGTAGAATATTGATATTCTGTGCTTAGTTTTGTGGTGGGGGATTTTCCTTTCTAGGTATAATTACAATGTTAGGATGTTCAAATTTATCCTTTTCCTTGCATGGGTGGAAACTAAAATCATTTACCCAGAGGCCTGAAAAATGTGATGGTGAGGTCTCTTTCAAGGAAGATAAGATATTGTTCAAGAGTGTCAACTCTAGACCAATGACTTAGGTAATCAATTTAGTGAAGTTTTTTTTATTATCTGTTTAATGCATAATTTCCTTCTTTAGTATTGAATGGAGGATCAGTTAAATTAAAGTGGGGTAAGAATGGTATGGATCAACTGCATCAACTTTGAAACAATAACTAGTAATTTTGGAAAAGGAAGCTGGAGCAATCTATATGGCTTAAGTGTTTGTCTTTTATTGATAAGAAATAGGTGTATCTCCTCAGACCTCAGTATTAGGAAGATTTATAGTCTCTGGAAATTGTATTGAAACAAGCTCTTAAATTTTGATTTATATCTGTGTGTATAGAGGCTAGCTTATCTAAGATGGAAATCAACAATAATTTTTTTTGTCTATTTACTTTTATAAGTTTAGATACTAATTTGAGCATCCAACTGATTTCATTTGACATTCCTTATTTTGCAGTTTTGAAGTCTATTTCTACTTTTCTAGTGCTGCCAGCTTGGTTGGAGTTTATAGAAATGGTACATGTATATCTTAACCTTTTCCTCCTATATATATTGCTTCTTGTATGTTTTTATTTTCTTTGTGTTTTCTTTGGGTTTTGGTTGTGTTTTAATTGTTATGTTATTCCTTAATGGACATGATATTAGAATGTATGGCCAACAGGAGCATAATGATGCAATACTGACAAATAAAACAATTAAAAGTGGTCATGACCTTAGAATTACACTATGATGCATAATCATATGATATTTACACTGATCTCTGGATCAGGGCATTTTTTTTTTTGAATACTACTGACTCTATTACAATGCAGTATCTGTTCATAACTACTTTCTCAACCAATTGAAGCACAAAGAGTCAATATTGCCTCCACTGAAGCTCAATCCCACAACCTCCCACTTGAGGGAGTAACTAGTGCCATTGGACCACAAGGTCCTTGGCCTGGATCAGGACATTTATTTCTCCATGAATGCATATACCATAACACCCACAAATATAAGTATCTGAAATTCTTCACTGAAATCTTTAGGAAAGGGCGTGCAAATTAATGCCTTACATTGTGATATGTATCCACAAAGGCATTTCTGATTATCAATCATGTTGTTTCTTGGTAATGTGAGAGAGTGTTTTCCTATATCCTATTGAATCTACAATTCTACATTACCCAAACACTTAGCCTTCAATAGCTTTTTGCTCATGTTGTATATCCATCTTTTGACCTTTGAAAATTTCATATTCAGACCTCAAAACAGCTTATAGAGGTTTGTTATTTTAAAAGTTGTTTTGAGCTTATTCTACTATGCTCCTTGAAAAAAAGACTTTTCAAAAACCTTAAGCTCTTTCCATAAGCCTATCCAGAGACAGTAAAAAATCAGTATGAGGACATACTACAGTAGACAAACTGTAAGTATAGAGGTTTTTATGAGTGAGGGATCAAAATATAATTTCCCATTCTTGGTCTCAGCCTCTCAGGCCAACTTGATGACACGTCTGGAATTGGGGTTGGGGCCATTAGGTGGGTTGGAAACCAACTATTCAGTTCAACTGAGCCCTGAGGTACCCTGAACAGTTTGGGTTTAAAAAAATGAAATGGGAATTTCAGAATTTGAACAGAGAATTCTCTCAGAAATTTGGTTAGGTTACCGAACTTTTCACATTTCTCATTTCAGATCCCTTTTTTTTTTTTTTTTTTTTCATGCAACAGTAAAAGAATGTGATACAAATCAGGCAGGAAAGGAAAATAATCAAATAATCATTCTTGTGGTAGAATTCAAGGAAGCATAGAATAAGGGATTGATTGATTATGTAAATCCTTGCTTATTTTATGGTGCGTATGATTAGGGATTGCCTAATTATGTAATCAGTAATTGATGCTCCTACCTTACTTTACATATGGTAATAGATTATAAATAGGGACCATCTCTTAGAAGAGAGGGCATCCAGTAGAATTGAAACAATTAGCTCTAAGCAGCTATGGACAAGAATTTATTCTTGTTGGAGGAATATTCTTCGAATTCAATTGTTTTTCTTTCCTTTGGTTGTACTTTATAATATCATAATAATCTCCTAGATTTCTTGGTTCAAATTCATCCTGTCTCTTTACTCTTATCAGAATGAAGAAAGACTTGAGATCTAAAATTTGAATATGAGATGTAGTGGTAGCATGTGAGATAGAACGGATGTGGATACATAACACATTATTATATGGACTTCATGAAATAAAGATTATTGTTTTGCCTGAACTTTGAATGTTGTGCTCAAACGGAGTTTTCTTGTCAGGAGACCTGCTTTAGTATTGTCTTTTTTACTAGTAGATCCCTGTTTCATCCATCTGGCAAGTGGAGAAATTCTGAAAGCAGAATTAACATAGGCTTTTGATCTCTAATAATTGCAGGCAGCAAGAATTATCGCACAATTGATTGTAATGGGCTCTGGGATGATGGTGAGAGCAGTTGCTCAAGCATATCGCCAGGCACTGGCAAGTAAGCTTCACTCTTATTTCATCTTTCATTCGATTCTTTCTTTCCTACGTTCCTGAACCCTCGTTCAGAGTCTAAGCCCATGCCACTAAATAACAAGTCACTTGGCTCTTTCCTTCCCATTGTTGAAAGGCACTCTTCCGTTTTACATGGAAGTTAATAATTAATTAATTATCCTTTTGGCATTGTAATAGAGTCAGTAGTACTAAAAAAAAAAAAAAGAAGTGGTGTAGATGGTATATATGCTGTTCATATCTGGTTCAATGTGTGATTTCCCTGGGAGATGGTTTAACTCGAGCAGTTAAATTTGGTACTTACGAAATAAGAGCTTATGTTGTGGTTTTGATGTACCCATGTGTATAATTACAGATGCTTCAAAAACTGGTGCCGCTCAAGAAGTAGCTCAGAATATCAAAAGAGCGGGCAAAACTATGACAGAAACTGAGGCAAGGCAAATTCTTGGTGTTGCGGAGAAATCCACATGGGAAGAGGTCTTGCAGGTTTATCTCGTTCTAACTTTCCCCTTTTACAATGTTTACATATGCAATATGTGCATATTCTTAAACCAGCTTTTCGCTCTTTCTGCAGAAGTACGACAACCTGTTTGAGCAAAATGCAAAGAACGGGAGCTTCTATCTTCAATCGAAAGTCCATCGAGCGAAAGAATGTCTAGAATCAGTTTACCAAAGTAAAACAGAGGGTGCAAATTAGAGAGTTTCTCATAGGTCGATCTTATATGGTGTTCTCAGATATGGCTTTTTGTTCCCCCTATATCATCATTCAGATTATTTCTGGGTATGTCTTTAGCAATGGAAATGCCCATTGTAGAAATGATAACCAAAACAGTTTATTGTGGACTGAGGTGTCAGCTTGTTAAAATCACATACACTACTGTAGTTGTAGAAATACACAAATATAACACGAGATTCAGGCCCTGTTTGGGACAGTATTTTTGAAGATAAAAAAGTTTATCAAATATAAGATAATATTAAGCTGATGTTTGGTTCAAGGATGTTTTGAGGTAACATAATATTTTTGAGAATCTCATATATTAAAAATAAATTGAAAATAATAATTTGAAATTTCATATTTTTTTAACCAAACTGATGAGAATATATGTGGATTATATGCTTATTCTAAATTAGCTTATTCTAAACGAGAGTATAGCATGTGGGATGTTTGTTCAACAATTTCATCAATTTGAGTAAATATAACTTGTTTTCTTATTCTTCCGTAGAAATATCTCGAATTAACTTTGATTTTGGTACGCATATAAGCGTTTTCTTATTCTTATAATTGTTGATTCCTCAAGGCGGATCAGGCGAGAACGGGTTGCTTAGGAGATACTACACACAATTGCTCGCATGTCCAGATTTAACAGATCAGAAACACTAATTTTTTTAAAAAATACGGTGATATTTGAACATTGAAGTGCAAGTAACAACTTCATATAGTGCACCTAAGTGCAAGTAAAATGTATTAAAAATGTAACAAATAATGTACACTGAACATCAAAATTAAGTGCACTTAACGTGTTATCATTAGTTACACCAAATGTTATCATTAAGTGCACTAATTTGAAAGACATTATTAGGTGCACTGCAACGTGAAAGACATTATTATTAGGTGCACCAATATATGTTAACAAGGTAAATTATTTGTACTATTTAGTAAAAATGGTTGCACAAGTAATACTTAAAAAAAAAAAGTGAATTCTTTGTCTATAGGAAAATGCTATTTGGACTCCCAAAATTTACTTTCACATTTTACTTTCTTATACAGGATTTTAATATAGACATTTTTCTTGAAACTCACCGAATGAAAATAATTTATAATTATTTGTCACGTTAGAAAATAAATAAATAAATAAATAAAAGTAAGTCTACCCTTCCGGTACTATGCAATATAAATTGCAGTGAGAGGATAATAAAAATATAATTTTGCCGAAACGTTTGACGAAAAGTGTGAAGGAAGCATGTGGCTCAAAGCCTCAAAGGAAGGAGGCGCCGAAATAATAATTGGAATGCATCAATATATTCTTCTCGAACCAAATATTTATTTATTATTTTATTTCTCTATTTTACGCGTCTTCGTAAATAATAGGTTGACTCAGCCTAACCCTTTTATTTTTTTTTAAAAATAATATTTGTTTTAATGTTGTCAAATAAAATAGACTTTATTGTTGTGGACTTTGGACTGTGATCTTATCATTGAGTTTGGAAAATATTAGACATATGAACTTTAAATACAGCTGAAAAATCATGTTTATGTCGGTTTTGTGCTTTATATAGTTAAAATATTAATTCGTAAAAGTTCTTTTTTATTTATTTTATTTTATTTTATTTTATTATTTATATTACATAAAATAACGCATACAAAGTCAGTAAAAAGTAATAATGGGATCCTAGTAGTCAGAGAGAGATTGAAAATTAAAGCTAAAAATCGAAATGTGCAGTTATAAACTTATAATAGGTTGCAATTCAATCTGCATAAATGTTGGGCTCTATGCAAATATATGTCTAATACTCGTTGCATATTATCGATCCTGTCTTGTAAGTTCTCATATAGCAGCTTCTAGCTAGAAGATTGTCAATCTCGTCTTCACCTTACGAATAACTACTGAAAAATCACATTCTAACTCAACACTTCAATTATTATTATTTTTAAATTAGTGTTACAAATTTTTACTCATCTTTTAATAAAAAAATTTAAAAAGTGGTTCAACTTGAATTAGTTTATAAGTTTGTCATACATTGGAATGGATGACTAATATCATTACGATCATATATATTGAGAATGACAATAAAATATTGATTAGAAATTATATTAACAGCTTATTATTATAATAATAACATAATCTACTATCTACTATATCTAAAAACACAATAAGTCTCAATCAAAGTTATATCCCTAATTTATATCCATGTTTTTAGTGCTAACCATTTCGTACATTATTATTATTATTATTTTGAAACCTGTACATTGTTCTTTTAAAGTTGTACTATATAATTTTTTAGACAAAAATATCCTTACCGTTATAACTTTTATTATCTTTGCCATTACTTTTACCATGCACATGCATGCATCCACCATATCTTTTCTTATATTCTTTAAATATTATATATTGGATTAATATAATAAATAAATTTTTTTTGAGAACATATAATAAATAATTTTATTTCATTCAGATTTTAATTAGTAAAAATTTGTTAGTTATGATGTATTTTTTAAAATATTAACATTGGGTATATGTTTTCGCACATCGTGCATAGAAAAGACTAGTACTATATATATTTATTTTATATATTAATAAAAGTCAATAAAGTTAAGCTTATAATATTAACTAAAAAATGTTCGTCTAATTATTTGATAAAATGATAGTTTAGATTATTTTGATTTTAGTTTTTTTTTTAAAAAAAAAAAATTTCCTATTTTACCCTCTATTATATTATTTTCTTACCTTAAATGGCCCTGCATTTCATCAGTATAAACTTTAGTAACGGAATATTTCGTTAACTATTTATTATTCATAACTTACTCTAATTTCCATAAGAAAAAGTCTTAGGTTCGAACCTCATCTCAATCATAGTTGGCATAATTTTTGAACATATACTATGAATGTATTAGAGTGTATTAAAAATGCAATATAAAATATTTCATGAACTTAGGTCAATTAATTAGCCAGATTATATACCTAATATTTAAAGTTGAGCAACAAAGATTACAAATAAGGAATCTTGCAGATCATTTTCTTGCATTTTTTTTAAAACAAATTAAATATATGTTAATTTTTGCCCCTTTTTTTTTCGTTTAATTAATCTTCTTTGGATTATATTTAGAACAAGACACAATATTTTAATTATGTTTTTGCGTTATTGGGAATGATTTAGGTAATTATGATATTAATATTTTTGTTTGCATTTTTACAATTGTAAAATTATACATTATTTTACAAATATTGTACGTACTATTATTTTTTATCGGACAAAATTATTTTTATATTAAAGTTCCATATATATATATATATATATATATATATATATATATATATATATATATATATATATATATATATATATATATATATATATATATGACTAATGCTACACAGCCCTCCTAATCTCATTCTTGATATGGCACTTTTCATTTGATAATTTAGTCTTTGATAATAAGTTAGTGGAGTCCCACTTCATGACATCCAATTGTTCTTTAATGTAGCAAAACTAATTAGATTAAATTTGTTCTTTTTGTAAACTAGCACCAGTAACCCAATTACACATGAGACACTACAAAAAAAAAAAAAAAACAGACAAACAATATTACGACGAAGAAAATAATAAATCTATTCAATTCAAAAGTGAATTAACAGAATTTAGAATAATAATAATAATAATAATAATAATAATAATAAATAATAATAATAATAATAATAAATAATAAATAATAATAATAATAATAATAATAATAATAATAATAATAAAAATAAATAATAATAATAATAATAATAATAAATAATAATAATAATAATAATAATAATAATAATAATAAAAAGTTGACCACATGAATATATGACAGGACAGGAAATTAAACGTCCCTAACAAGTGTATCTATCATTAATGGTTGATTCACCGCCGCATGAATTTTTGTCTACGCTCTATCCTTCTTGACTAAGGCACCGGTGTTATACTTGGGAATTATTTTGGGCTACAAAATATGGTTGGAAAAATTTAGAATTAATGATATTCAGTCATAAGTACTGTACTGAAGATTTAATATATTACACCTAAATTATTAATGGTGTAATTTTTTTATTTTTATTTTTTGAAGTAAAAATGCGAAATATTATTACTGTGATTAGATTGAGTCATGAAAGTTTTCAAAAAAGAAAAAAAGAAAAAAAAGATTAAGTCATGAATATAGGGGTTTAAATCCCATAAAAGAGGAACAGGCTGAGAGCCAGTAAGTTGATATCAATGACTAAATCAATATGCCATTGGATTAGGAATCTAAGTACTAAATCTATCTACAAATAACATAATTGATAGACTAAATATTGTATTATAAATAATTTATAGAGTAAATCTAAACAACAATCACAACTGAGGGAATTAAAATAATGTTATAACAAATAATTATATAAAAATACAACTTGTTATCATAAAAGACGGTTTAATAATAATAATGATACAAAGTGTTAATATTGCCCCTATTGGAATTCAAACCATGACTTCTCATTTGGAAGATTCACCTCACGCCACTTGACCATAAGGTCATTAGCACTTTAAGCAGGGTTATTACAACCAATTATTATATATCATGAACCATGATCTATCTTCTAAAGCCACCAACATAAGGTACATTTTTATTATATTAAAAGTATATTTTTAATACACTAAATGTTTACTTTTTGAAGATACATTATTTGAGTATTGAAAGTATATTACTTTCAGCATACAAATTATTTACATTCAATATATTTAAAATGCATATTTATTCATACTCGACAATATAATTTCTGTTACAACACCTTCTTATTACCCAACTTTTTTTTCCTCTTAAAATACAAATTATTTAAAAAAAAATTCAATATTGGATAAAGTAATGGGCATATTGATAAGAATTGATATTTGACCTCTTCAATCCAATTTAGAGTCGTGTGATTCTTAATTTAGATGTTAGCAAGGAGCCAAGGACACGGAAACATCTTCTAGATGACTAGACGTTTGCTTTAATTTTTTTTTTCTTTGGGAAAATAATATAACAATTTGACCAATATTGATTTAAAAAAAAATTCTATATATAATCCATGATCAACAAATATATTAATTAGTAAGGAATAAAATAAAAAATATGAGTTCCAGGACTATGTGGTCTAATGGTACCCGGGTTGGACTTCCATTTGGAAGATTATGAGTTCAAGCCTCAGTGGAGGCGTTATTGGTAGGCGTTATTGGTTCTTTGTGTTTCAGTAAGTTGAGAAAGTATATGAACAGATAC